ACGGCTGTACTAGAACTTTTATGTAGGATTTATATGAAAACACCCATTTAATATCACTGTAGTTTTAAAATTGAATCATAATGACCCATAATGTACACTGCAAACGTCTTAACTGAGTTGTTACTTACATGTTGTACATGTACACTGTATGTTATGTAATTGACTCAAGGCTTACTATCGAAATCATTATAGATTATAACATGGCATTTTCAATATTGGCCATGATATCAGCCCGAGACTCCCATATTAAGCCAGAGGGCGTAGCCCGAGGGCTGATATGGGTGGAGGGCTGATACCAGGGCCAATATGGAAAATGCCATGTAATGATCTATAATTTATCACAGATTCGAGCTGCAAAATTATTGTTTTTGATTGACAATTTTACCGGAAGTTAAATTCGGGGCCTCAATGAGGGTATTTGAGTGCAAATATCGATATTGGCCCCGAGGACAAAAAAAACCGACTGCGACTCCTGGCTATTATTGAACTTGCAAAAACGTACATATTATAGTACAAAGTATGTGATAATGCTTTGTTTTTTAAATGATTTAAAGAATGTGGCGCAAACGTCAATAAAAAAGCAAACCACCACATGCAAACCAAAACAGACATCTACATATTCCATTATATTAATGTTCTATTTCTTTTACTGTTTTTTATCCCAGCCCACTTCTATGGTTTTACTAAGAGTTCTTATATATTTGCCTATTATTAGAATAGAGTCCCTAGTGTTTAACTTGCGCACATTTTGTTTATACACCTTCCAAATTTATTTCTTTATATTTTATGTATAAATACTAAATAAATAGTAAGTAGGGAGGTGAAATTACATGTATAAACAGTTTAGAATAATTTTTACATGTAGGTAAATTAGTGATCTGGTCCAGTTTGAAAAGGTCAAAAATTAGTATGTATATCTGAAGCTGTCAGACTGTATTATACACCCACTCTACATAAAATTGTCCTGAATTTGATTGACAGTCTATATACTTTTCTATAATTTTACATAATTTGTCCCAATATTACATGTATTAATACACTACACTGTAAAAATATTTTTTGGATAAGGCAGGTGCGATTTTATTAATTTTGCGTTTTCTGTCTTAGATAAGTTCACTACGATATAACTGTTTTCTCGGACGTCTGTTTTGTTTTACTAACGTCATTCTGTCGGGCTTTTCAATATAGTTTTTAAAAGAATTCTTCGACTGCTTTATAAATTGAATATATTCCATTATTGTAATTCTTATTCAATGTTATGACTTTCGACCTCATTTAATTTTCTCAGTACCCTTAATTAATCATAAGTTTACGAAATGGCAAGAAAACAATATACACCAATCCTTCAAGGATATCCACGTGCTCAAAAAAACCTCATTCCAAATATATCTAATATGTTTGATCATTTGGTTGTAAAGAGAAAACAACTTTTTTTTTAAAATCTTTTGTAATAAAAAATGTGAAATCATGACAAGTTTTAGATATATCTGATTGATTAAATGGTATATCAAATAGGATGCGGATACTTCAACATGAGATTTGAATCTAATGAAAGATTTAGATGATTAAAAAAATACCGTATGGAATAATATAAGCCGCAGGGAAAAAAATAAACGAGGTCTAGCAAGACGATACACACATTGGCAAGTAGGTGGCAGCTACTGTTCTTCTGGTAACCTAGCAACAAAACTGTTTAATTTGTTTAAACATATTTTATTTGCTTAAATATACAAAAGGAATGAGACACAAATTAATCAAACTTATAAAGTCTTCTCCCATCTTGCCAGATCCCGCGAAATGAGATCTGTTACACTCTCATCTCCTTCTTTACTGAACAAATCTCATTTTTGAGCCGATATATTAGGATAGCAAATGACAAGGCCGTGATTTATTTCATCTTTGAAGATATAACGAACAGCTAAATTAACTCTTTTGCGAGTCAAATTGATAGCCTCCTGATTATCTGCCAAGTGCTCATATCTTCGTGGCAAAACTTATAATACATATTAAGGTGGTACCCAACACTTTGACTAAAATAGATTTGACTCGTTTAATTTTCATGAAGTTTTGACAAAATATTTACTTTGACCTGTTGACAAAAATATGAAAATTTCTAGAAATTTGAACCACGCAATTTACAGGAATAATTTGGTTGGATATATAGCAGTTTGACAAACACTAATTTTGATCGTTGAAAAGCTTGATTTCTCCTTACTAATAGTATGTGATTAAAACGTTCAGTTGATTTTTAAGAGTTAACTCCCTTAGGTGTTCTGTACCCCCTTAAATACACACGTATCTTACAACGCTATTCATATCTATTCTAAACTACCAGTGCAAATGTAACTAGTGTATGAATAAGACACAAAACGACCCTACTTTTTAATTTCTGTCTCCGAAACCCAACATTCTGCTAAAATGCGATGCTTAATCTATTCTAAAGGAATGTGATATGATGTGGTTTTTAATACCAAAAACAAAAAGGTTTTTTTAAGTAAAGAAATGAACGGAAAACCGAGTCAAACGAGACCAATAAAAATGTAAAAACAGAGGTTTGCCTAAAGAAGGGTTTCTAATTTTCAAAAAGGCAAGTCAGGAGCCTGTTGTTCAGTGGTTGTCGTTTGTTGGTGTGGTTCGTAGGTGTTTCGTCGTTTCTCGTTTTTTATATAGATTAGACCGTTGGTTTTCCTGTTTGAATTGTTTTACACTAGTCATTTTGGGGCCCTCTATAGCCTGCTGTTCGGTGTGAGCCAAGGCTCCGTTTTGAAGGCCGTACTTTGACCTATAATTGTTAACTTTTTATACATTGTGACTTGGATGGAGAGTTGTCTCATTTGCAATCATACCACATCTTCTTATTTAAAGTAACATGCTCACAGGACATAAGATCTGCCACCTGTTGAGGAATAATCAAAGTCATAGAGATACCTCTTTGGTCAGCTTTCGAACTGCGAATCCTCAAATGCACTTCGTATTTACCATATAAAAGTTTCAAGAATAAATCATTAAAAACACTCCGATATCTGTACTAGTATCGATCGTGAACTCCCTGTTTTCTTCATAACGCGAGATAAAAGAAGACTAAACACTTAAGCAAACATACAAGATTTAAAACTCGAAGAGCAAATGGATGGAAGCAACTTTTCTGATAACTCTTCTGCTGTTTTGTAAGTTTTTCATGTTTTTTAACCATAGAAAAAATACTAATTTTCTATTTCCATGTCTAGATTTTCCAGAGTAAGCTTGCCATTGGAGTTGGTATTTTGTCTGCCTTTGGTGCTAATTAACTGCATGAAGAGCTGCCAATGGCAACGAGACATGGGCGTTAGCAATAACATAACGACTACCAGAAATATGCTGAACCTTTATCAAAATATTATATTTGAGAGAAATAAATAAGTTTTCTTACAAAATCATTACTTTGGCAGATTTTTGGAACTTTTTATTCATATTTGTTTCAACTGACTGGTTGTAAATATCAAACAATAACTTCATTTTCTTAAAATATGTCAAAGTCTCAACTGTCCGGATTACAATATTTGTGACTTAATAATAGCAGGCTGAGGTGCACAACTTCAACATATTTCCAATCTTCCTATGTAGTTTCGGGGATCTGAGTTGAAAACTGTAGGATGAGTTGATTACACAAAACCTTTTTTTCATAAATTTTGCGGACACATGACTATCAGTGTACAACTCGTTTTCCTCGTTTTATGTCCAAAACAGGTTGTTAGTGGCGTTGAACTAGCTGTCAGTAACTGCGAGTACTATCAGATCTGTACTTAGTGTCTTTTTGTTGTTTGGATGTACAAGTACCCGGCCACGTCCACTTGTATTTGTAGTATTTGTATTTTTATCCATCTGATGAGTTAAAACTCTTTCAACTGATTTATATAGTTCGTTCTTATGTTGTACTGTTACGCCACTGTCCCAGGTTAAGGTGAGGGTTGGGATCCCGCTAACATGTTTAACCCCGCCACATTCTGTATGTATGTGCCTGTCCCAAGTAGGGAGCCTGTAATTCAATGGTTGTCGTTTGTTTATGTGTTACATATTTGTTTTTCGATCATTTTTTGTACATAAATTAGGCCGTTAGTTTTCTGGTTTGAATTGTTTTACATTGTCATTTCGGGGCCTTTTATAGCTGACTGTGCGGTATGGGCTTTGCTCATTGTTGAAGGCCGTACGGTGACCTATAGTTGTTAATTTCTGTGTCATTTGGTCTCTTGTGGAGAGTTGTCTCATTGGCAATCATACCACATCTTCTTTTTTATATTTAGCATCATGTTTCCCGTTATACTCATTTAAAAATTATGACCAAACTTGCAAAACATCTTTCAATCCAGCTGAGATGTGGATTTTATGCCAAGCTTGCTTCACATTGCAAATTGCATCGATTAACCGACGACAAACAGCTCTGCCTGGCATGAAGATATGACAAACAAAGTTCAATGGTCCAATAAGTAACTGAAGTTCACGCAACTTTACTTTTTTTGCAACCAAGAATAACAACGATCCGTTGTTTTTTTCTCAATAAGCTTATCTTTCAATAATCGAAGATCCGTTGTTTTTTTTTCTCAATAAGCTTAACTTTCGATAACCGAAGAGCCGTTGTTTTTTCTCAATAAGCTTATCTTTCGATAACCGAAGCTCAATCGCGATAGTATTGAACTCTATATATATATATATATATATATGACCAAACATTTTAAAATATCATCTCGTTAAACGGGTTTCCTCCTCTACAAATAACTAGAAATGTAAATAAAAAATCCTTGTTTAGACTATTTCTGGTTAAACCAATAAAATGGTATCAAAAATTGTAAAAGTTGACAATAAACAAAACGCATATTTCTGAAGTTTTTGACACTCCTGATACGATCGACCAAATATTAACCAAACTGTTTAGGAAGAAAAGAATCAATCTCTGAAGTAAAAAAATATATATATACCATTCTATACAATTACTTTTGGCTTTATTAAAAGAATGTAATAATGTGTTTGGCTGAAAACATAAAACATTTAATATACATGTCATTACATAAATATAAAGAACAAATACAAATGCCAATACAAAGAAAGTTATAAGCAAGGAAACTATATGTGCCGGAGGGCTACAAATTATATATTCGCCACACAAGAAACTAAATAAATGCAAACACTACAACAACTTAAATTAACTGATATATATAAAGGGAAGGAAAGGGGCAGGGTAAACTTTTTAGGTTCCGATTACTTTAAAGGTTTCTAATGTAATGACGAGGAATAAAATCACTTTAAAAAGTGGAGTAAACATAAATCAAAATTCAAGTATCCATGAATATCTAAATAAATGACCAAAATGATAAAAAAAAAAGACGGGTAACTAGTTCAAATTTTGAAAATTCCGCATCGTAATTACTAGTTTTCGTGAAAAAAAAACAAATCAAGATTGTGAGGAATCGAGCCGCTCATTGTTTCTTTCGAAATGGCGAACAAAGTAAAAAATACCATAATAAGGCGTCATTTATGAACTCTATGTCAAAAGAAATAGACAAGACAAATGAATGGTTACATTAATTCAATGGGACAAAAGATTATATTTATAAACACATAACACAGATAACATAAGACGTAACAACATGACACCTCTCTCTAACAAAGAAAAAGAAAAAACAAACAAACAAACAAACAAAAAACTAACAAACCTTTGATGCCCTTTGAATGTCTGCATTTTCTGCTCCACATTTGACACACATTTAGTTACTCATGGGAGTCATGGCAGTTTAAAAAACTATTGAATCAGATCTAGTCTAGACAATAATGAGGACAGTTTCGTCTATTCGTTTATTTTCGTGGGTACTCTTTTTTTCTGGATTGAGGAACATTCTATTTTTGTTGATATTTGATTTGGTTGTTTTGCAAGTGTATGTACAAACGTTTTAAGTTTAATCAACAACTGGGATAATTTTAATCTAAAATACTAACAAAACCTTCAATATGTTCCTTTCGAAACTTACAAAATTATGCAGGCTCGTTTATATAACTACCAGTTAAGTAACTGTACATTTAATATTGCCCGACTAAAGGAAAACAAATATTCTCACACTTATGTGAATATCAATACAAAAATATTTACAAGAAAAATAAAGAAAGATCCGTTTTTGATTGTTGACTAGCCTTTCCAGTAATATTTTTTTTTTACTTCTTTATTTCTTTTCACACATTCAGAAATTTGTCATCTCTACTTTATAAAAAATATGTCAATCTGTCCACCATCCTCTTACCGTTCTTGAGTCTCGATATATGCATGCAATATTTGCTACTAGACGTCAAACACCAATCCATTATCACGAAACATTCTTCCTTTTTTCTCAAGAAGTTTGAGCGAGATGAAGCATTTGTCATTAAGATTTTGTTTTTGTACTTTTTAAATTAAAAAAACATTCATATAAAAATAAGACTATGTGGTATGATTGCCAATGAGACAACTCTCAACGAGAGACCAAACGACACAGAAATTCATGCACGTAAGTGTTACATAGATATAAAAAAAGAAGAAGAAGAAAACAGGAAATAGATCATAATTCGTCGTGTACATTCATATCATCAACTGGATCTAGTTCTATTGGTGGCATGTCTTTCAACCAAAAATTCATCACTTCCGGTTTTAAATCACTCTTCAGTGTTGTGACCGTATCCAGGTCCAAATAATACTTCGACGTTGTGTCAAATGGTTTCCATACAACTGCTCCTTCCGGTTCTCTAAAGGAAATAATTCACAGATAAGAAAATAATACATTCAGCGTTCACAGCGATTACACAGGCATAACATTGTAGCTATGTGGTAAAACAAATAGAAAGCAAATCGTTCTCAAGTTATAGTATATGGCATGATGATTAAATGTACTAATTGACGATCATTATAATTCAATTTGGCCAATGAAATGCTTGTTTGTTTGTTTTTGCGTTTCTACGTACTGTTACATCCTTGACTTTCAAATGATAAGTTTTGCGCGTTCTTGGTAATTGTAAATCCAAACTAGAGTCTCTAAAGAGCCTGTGTCGCTCACCTGTATCTTCAACAATTGCCACTTTTTGGTAAAAATCTTGATCAAAGGGGAATAACAGTTTTAAGAGTTAACTGACAATTTTAGCTGAGTTGACGTATTAGAAGATCTTATCATGCTGATCATATTCCTATTTTATACATAATGTTTTATCTAATAGGCGAGCAAGAGTGCACACGCTGAAATGCATGTCTCGCCTACTTTACTTCCATTGATTTTATGTTGATAGCCCTAAATATAACGTTTTACTACAAGTATCACATTAAATTATCATGATCCAACATAATGAGGTCAAGGTTAGATAAATCAAGCCAGAAATACATGTACACCTTACAATCATTCCATACATTGATTATAGTAGACCGTTTGCTTATAGTATACAAGAAACAGACCAAACCATGAAAACGTTATATTGACCTATGAATCATGAATATGAGGTCAAGGTCAGATAAACCCTACCAGAGAGACATGTACATTTTACAATCATTCCATGCACCAAGCATAGTTGACCTATTGCTTATAGTTTAAGAAAAACAGACCAATACACAACAAGAGTGCACACGCTGAAATGTCTCGCCTTCTTTACTTATACTAACCATTGATTTTATGTTGATAGTCCTAAATATAAAGCTTTACTACAAGTAACACATAAACTTAACATGATCCAAGAAAATGAGGTCAAGGTCAGAAAAACCAAACGAGAAATACATGTACACTTTACAATCATTCAATAACCCAAACATAGTTGACCTATTGCTTATAGTATGAACCCTGCCCGACATAAACCTTATTTAAAACTTTAAAAAACTTATTAAAAACGGTATTTCACATCCACGTTCATTTTCTATATAGAGATTACTCTATCTATGTATTACATTATACTTATTTATTAAAAGGTTAACTCCTAACTATCCTACTGCCTTTTATTTTTGGCATTGCACAAGTCATGTCTTCTTCGACTGTCCATGACGTTAAAATACTAAATCCCTTTGATGTGTTTTATTTGATTTATGTCTCTGATGCATGATTTTTTATTAAAATTGTTTTTTGGCTTTTAACTAGCTAACAGTAACTGCGAGTTCTCTCAAATCGTACTTTCGTGTTACTTTGACCTGTTGATACAATTTGTAATGCTTTTTTTTGTTATTTAATGTTTACTTCTTTAGTGTTATATCTCGTCTCTCTATTATTAATATATGCCAGCTTTGATAAGTGTTTGGTATGACTATAAATTTTTACTTCTGTTCTCGTACTATGAACACACAACATTATTTATTTTGTAAAACAAATTTCTGTATTCCATTACTGTATACCTTACAACAAAATTATTTTCATTTTCCTGTGTACATCATTTTAAATGGCGGCATTTTGTCCAAGGTTATGGTGGTCTTTATGATATTTATGGTAGTTTTTACTTCAGAAGACATAAGGTAGATCTCATAATTTTGAAAATTTTATCCCCTGTCAGATTTTTTCTATCATTAACGGCTTTCAAGATAATAGCCAAACATTGCATTTTACCGCTATGGTCTATTTTAGCCATGTCAGACATGTTGACCGGGGGCTGGGTCATCGTACACATTTGTTAAGTTATATAGATACAATGGATAAGTGTGGATTCTTGAAAAAGAAACCATGAGCCCGGAGGGCGAATGGTTTGTTTTTCATGAATCTACGCTTATCCATTGTATCTATAACTTAAACTATTGTGTTAATTTCTTTTCAAAATTTAAGCCTTTTCTTAATTAGAAGGTATTGTAAGTGAGTTTAAATAACCATGTTATCGTGTCCAACGATGCATTGATAAATCTCAGATCACAATTAATTGGTTAACAAAATACAAATATAACACTTCTACCTTTAAAGAATTTCATATTACCAGGCATATGAATATTATCTGTTTATACAAAATAAGACATATTCGAAATTATTTCTAATAAAATTGAAAATAGAAATGGGGAACGTGCCAAAGAGACAACAACCCGACCAAAAAGTATATATAAAGTATATATAATAAGTATGTTATCGAAATTTTTCTAGCACTCTAGGCACATCACGATTTTCTCGCATAGGAATTTGCGAACAAACCTTTGTAAAATTATGTAGTAAAACAAATGAAATCATACTATATTTATAAAACAAAATTTGACAAATAGAATGTAATCATTTTTGTTTCAAACATGTGAAATAGCCAATAATAATAAAAAAAACCCAGTAAAACTCGCTATTATTACAAAAATATCCACTATAACTTGCAAAATTAGAAAAAAAACTAGGATAACTTAAGAATTGGTACAACAAAGAGAATACAGGGATTCGAACCTAAACCGACAAATCCCGATCTTTAACTCATTGATTTTAACCATGCTAACCTCGCGGCTACCAACTCATACTATACGACTGCCTATTGTGTCTATATAAAGGTACAAGCCCTGTGTGTCCGATGAACCGATGTATATCAGATATTCTTTAAATATATATAATAAACATCTATAGTGTAACCCATTGGTAGCCGATAGGTTTCGTCGGTGTGTTGATGTCAGTCACACATAACAGATTTCAAGGAAGGGTTCGATTCCCAGTGAAGGCATATAAAAATTACAAAAATTAAATGTAAGTTTTTAAATTAATTCCATTAGTGAACAGAAATCAGTAAATTAGCCTATTCAAACTTAATGAAATTAGGCACACTAAGGAAACAATTGAATATAATTTGGTGAGTCAATTTCAGCGGCAGATTTAGGAAGCGTTGATTCTAGAAAAAGAATCCACGGTAAATGAATAGGCTGACGTCACCACAATGGTTTAAACTAGATACCACAATGATGATTGTTGCCAAGTTTGGTTGAGAAGATTTTTGTAATAGTTAACGGACGTTGACGGACGACGGCCGCCAAGTGATAAGAAAGCTTGGCTAGCTAAAAAGCACTTCAAAAGCACGAAATTATAAAGTTTTATTAGGTCTTTCCACTTTTCCGTGGAAAGACCTATTGCTTTTGTTCTGATTATTATTTTTTTTTTTCTTCCGCCTAAATATTTTTCCTTCGCTGTTTGGTTATTTCGCAAGATGTCGCTTAGTTATTTGGTAAATGATATCGAACAGTTAATAAGCTTTTGAAACTGACACCGCTTAACCGAATACTTTCCCATGTAAGAGTTATCTCCCAGAACACTGTTTTTCTTGTTATATCTAATATTTCGCAACCGTAGTAGAAACCGACAAATTTTTTTTTTTCAAATTGCTCGTTATATCTTCAGGATGTTTTTATTAATTTTGATCGAAGCGGTATAGAGATTCCATATGAGAGTTCTCTCCCCTTATGCATTTGTAACTGATAAACCATAAGTGATACAGACCTAGGGTCTTTTGATTTGTGGACCAAAAAAAAGAAAATAAGGTCAAGGTCAAAGTTCAATGTCATGTTCTAAATTTTGAATCTGGCTGATTTTCACTTCTTTTCAAAAACTGTATAAGATATCGACAAATTATTTTTACTAAATTGTTAGTTGCGACATGTCGTAACACGTAAATTTTGGTTGCAAGAGCATGTTGACTTTCAATGGGAGTTTTCTTCCTTTTTATATTCAAAATTACATGTATGGTTATATAACTCATTAACCAAATATAATAAAGACCAAGGGTCTTTTGATTTGAGGTCCTTGGTTTATAACCTTGAAATTAAGGTCAAGGTCAAAGTTGAATTTGACGTTCTAGATTTTGACCTTTGCTTTAACTTCATATTCATACATGATAGAGCCATGAGACTTTTTGCATTAGGTTCCAAACTATATGAAATGACCTTTCATAAACCGGAAGTAGCTATTTTTTGTACTTATTTATTGTAAAAGTATTTAGAACCATATATTTTTGGAATCAGTGTCAAGTAAACTATCAAATAATATCGGAAGTGACATTTTTTCAGACCGGAAGAAACAAATTATATTCCTTATTTCAAACAAAAGTGTAAAGAAACCACATATTTTTTTAATCAGCATACAATGAGCTATCATTTGACACTGGAAATGACATTTTAAACTGGATTATAATATTTTCGTATCAAAAGATATCGTTTTGGATGGAAAGATCTTCAGTTGTTCTCTGAACAATTGGTTTTTAATTTTCATTTGCTTCTGTTTTCATATAAAAAAATAGTCTAAACTTGAATATGCCCTGAACTCAGTAAAAAGTCTGAACAATGCGAATTTATTGTAGTTGTTACAATTCGCTGGCCTTTAAATACAGGTGTAACTTATACATCATAAATAGTCATAAATAAATCTGTTTAAGGACTTTTAGATTATGCTTGTCATCTATATGTACCCTTGTAGAAATTGTGTCAAATCTATATATATATATATATATACCATGGACATTTAAAGAATTTTTCATTTATTTAATCTGTCACATGTAATGTCATTTGAATTCTAGTCGGAAAGGACCGGAGTCATGCAATATAAATATATTAATAAAAATATATATGTAGAAAATTCAGTGGTCGTCGTTGCTTTCTATCATAGTTTTTTTTTCATTTAGTGTTTCGTACACGCTATAAAACGACGAAGACGAAACAGTGTTTCCTATTTAGACCGTATATATATAAGACGTAACAATATTACCCTTTTCTGGCGAAGGATGTCCAATATCCAATTAGCGCATTAGCGAAAAGTTGATCTTCTAGAGTATCTAAACTAACATTAAAAGACGGCAATAATACTTCTGCATCAAACATGAACTGTAGTTCTTCTCCATGGCCAGATCCCTTACCCCACTTCGGTGCATCGCCCATAAAGGGTTTTTCTTTCGAAAAGAGATACTGGTATGTCCTTCCTCCAAAAGATGCATGATAATTAAGCATTCTTTTGACGGTATGTCCAAACATGCAATCAGCCATAAAATCATTTGCTCTCATACTCTGTTCATCAGGAGAGTTCTCTGTTGTGTAAAATTTACACAGCTTTTCTTTTACATCAGAATCGTTCTTGTAAAATTTTTCTACAAAAGGATCAATCATTCCCTTACAAATAAATCTCAGTGGAATACTTTCAGTAGCATTGAAATCAAAGTGTTCTTGGACTTTTGGAGGTATTTCCATTCCAATCATAAGACCTTCATTTGATGTAAAACCTGCGATAAAGTCCAAAGACCCGAAAAATTGGGCAACATCCGACTTTTTATCCTTTAAACTTCGCAGGGGGTGATCCTGAAATAATTCACCGTCTACAACTGGAAGATATTGCGGTTGAAAAACTTCCATTCTGTCCTCGGGCATAAAACTAAACATATCGGTGGCCTTCAAAAGCTCACTTACGTCTTTGTCACGAAGGCAGTCCGTAAATTTATACATGTCGTTGATCGGACAGGAGGTTTTCTTTGCAAGATCAATGGTCCTTTCATTTATTTGCTTCTTAGTTAACATAGTTAAGTCATTGACTACACCACTTTGTGATATTGCTCTCTGGAAAAGCCCTTTATTCTGCGGTATCAGTGATTGAAAAGATACACTCCAACCCCCTGCTGATTCTCCAAATATTGTAACAGACTCCGGATCCCCTCCAAATGATGCAATGTTGTCGTGTACCCATTGCAGTGCAAGCTTTTGGTCCCATAGACCATAGTTTCCCTTGGAAGATGGGTGGTTAACTTTAAAGAAACCAAATATATCCAATCTATAATTTATAGTCACTACTATCACATCTCCTTGCGTGGCAATCCATCCTCCATCATACTGGTTGGAAAAGCCCACAACTAACCCACCACCATATATCCACACCATAACTGGCAATATTCTGTTTTTGTCAACATGGGTTGGGACATATACGTTTAAGAATAAACAGTCCTCGGACATTTTTGGCGGCTTAAAATCTAACATCATATCTGGGGTGGACTGTGGACATGCAGCTCCAAATTCTGTTGCATCTAATGTATCCGTCCATTTATCGGCCGGTTCTGGTTTTTTGAATCTCAATGGACCTATGGGGGGTTTTCCAAACGGAATTCCACGAAATTCATATACGTCCTTTCCTGTTTGTTTATTTTGTGTCTTTAGTCCTTTAATCGGACCGGATACAGAGTTGACGACTGTAAGATCACCAGTTGCAAAATTCACACACACCAGTGTCATTAAAACAGCAAATATAAAAGCATTCATTTTGTTCTTTTGGCACTTTCTCATAACCTGAAATTATTTTGAGTATTAAACTATCTTACAATTTTCATATTCTTTATTTTTACACCAATTGGATCGAAACACTCTATTAAATTTCTGAACTTCATGATTTAAATAGTGGGACATCGTATTTGTTTAAAGACGTTGGCTTTTCAAATGAAAACTAAAATTGTCAAAATTAATGTACACTGTATCTCAATTCGAAATCAAAGTCATTAAAAAACACAAAATGTAATAAATAATAGTTTATATTATCAATCGAATATTTTTAAGAATTTGTGATTCGTTAAAACTTGATCACATGTACATTTGTATTACTCAGTTTGCACACCAATACTGTTAACGTTGTGTTAAGCTTTCCGTAAGTCAAAAACAGCAAATTGCACAAGGCATACAGCATGATACTAAAAAAAATGTTTATTCAATCTGATGACTTGACTGACTGCATTCATGAGAAACACATACATACAGACGTTTAATTTTCGTTATACAACGCACGAACGCCCAAAACTAACATACAACATCATTATTTAAGCCATATAATATATTTATATTCGTTTTGGTAATACAAGTCAGTTATCATACTTTGGTTTTTGGAGTTTGGTCATCACTGAATACTTGGGCCACATGTTGACCTCTTTGTGTGAGTAAAAGGATATCTTGGGACAAGTCAATGAAAAGCTAGCCCCTCCCCCAGGAGGTCTTTAACAAAATCAAAATGTGTCAATAAAAATCAAATTACACGTATAACAGTAAAAAAAAAAACCATCACCATCCGAACATCGATCAACGGAGTAAATGCAACAAAAAGAACAAAGTATTTAAACAATAAAAGTCTACAGTTTCCAAAAATCATTAAAATTTGAAAATCGATATTACAAATGTATATAATGTACAAGGAAACGTTAATTTGAATTTTTTAAAAATTAACGTTAAACAAAGACTCCATGATCAGTTCATACAAAAATGGTTTTCGGATATCGATAACTCATCGAGGGGGAAGTTCTATTCAAAATTTAAGACTGACTTCTGTATGGAACCCTATCTAATTAGACTTAGAAAATTTAGTAGACTCTATATTTGAAAACTTCGCACTTGCAATATCAAATTTCCTATCGAAACGGGGAGATGGAATAGAAATCCAGAAATTGAAAGAAAATGTAAGCTTTGTAAGACTGGTCTTGGAGATGAGTATCATTACATAGCGCTTTGTGACAATGCTGATGTTATTGAAGTAAGAAATGCATATATTCCTAATTACTACAGAATCAACCCAAATATCAACAAACTTTATGGAATGTTGAAATATTGCAACTTAAATGTATTAACTAACCTTTCTATTTTCATTCAAAAGGTTGAAAAACTACTGCTTTCTCTGTAAATCATCACATATGAATATTTATATATGTTACACTTTTTGTTACTATCCATTATCATTTTATTGTGTTCATGTGATCACGTGGTTATTTAAACTTTACAGATTGCACGGACTTTTTGCGATCTGGTCAATAGATGTAGTATACATTTAGTTTTGTAAAAAAAAAATATTTATATTGTTTTATTTTATGTATTCTACTCATTTCGCTTCTATGTTATTTGTAAATTTATGTGTATTTGTCGCTCCTGTTACGCAGGAAATCTGCGTCTGAGTGTATTTTGAATAAACAGTGAAACAGTATAATATAATACTTACATGTACAGTAGCGGGAAATATCAATATTGTTATTTTGTACGAGCTTTAATATCGCGGAGAAAAGCTAGACACACCAGTCCAGGCTTTCTCGTTGCTTCATATAGCGAGGACAAATATTTGTAATCTTCCAACATTGTAAGTATACTGTTTTAAACCATTTATAATATTAATTATTTAACCAAATGCTTAGTTTTAAACATGTCAAATCGTCAAAGAAATTGATATTGCTTACTTAAACAAGAGTTTTACTCCCGGACGAAGAAGACCTAAATAACCATAATTATATTCCCCAGTCATCCTTGGGGGGCTGACAACACGATACCGGGAGACGATATATATTATATGTATTATACCGTATAGTAATATTGTATACTATACGGATATCATTCCCCATGTGTACCTCGATCTACAGTAAAATGGTCGATTGGAGGATAACGATAAATAATATCGTCTTAACTCAAAAGCAAGATCAAATTTGCTGATGAAGAAATCATTCTCTTTCAAGCACTATCGAAATAATTGTATACAGGACTACACAGGTTCATATTTTTTATGGACAACTGTCCTGTCTATTGTTGAAGACCATATATTCAATCCAAGATGTCTCTTTGTTGTTTTGTGTCGCTGGGTTGCTTGCGTAAACTAAAAATATTGTCATGATTTGTGAAGAAATTTAGTGCAAAAATAATGGCTATTTTTTTTTTCAATAATCGAATTAAAAGTGGAATCGAACTTTTACAATTATAACTATAATTTTCGTCGTATAATTGAATTTCAATCATTGAAATCTGATGCCATCACGTGACTTCAGCACGTTAATATTGCTACATATTCGAGAATATCGATTTGTTCTGTATATCATTTAACCTAATGTTGACTTACAAAAAAATCGAATCAAAAGATATGGAGTTCAATCCGACCGATTTTTATATTTTGAATATCTTTGCAGATCCATTGCGATTATCTGAACCAAATCATCAAACATTTTGACTGGATTGGTACAGATAACTTATCAAAAATTTCTATTTGTACAAATGTACCCTTACCTTTCCTTCTGAATAATCACCCGACTGACTGAATAAATATATATATAGCGTCCTCGGATTTGAACTCGTCTTTATTTACATTGGCCGTTGATAAAATACGGATGTGATAATAGAAATGGATTAAAACGTCGTGTGTTGCTCTACTAAGTGATTAAATCAAGGGAAATCTTTTTCTTGAAATCATTCCAATATAGTGTTCACACAGCTAGAACCGGCCTGTGTACATCATTAGTTCAACATTATACGGATACGATCACACACTGCTTTCTACTCGGTGAGCATGAAAGTCGCAGTTTGTATTTCATTTTATTTTCACCTGTCAACGTAAAGTTGTTCCGCCTAACAGAAGTTTGGAGTTTGGTCATCACTGAATACTTGGGCCACATGTTGACCTCTTTGTGTGAGTAAAAGGATATCTTGGGACAAGTCAATGAAAAAGCTAGCCCCTCCCCCAGGAGGTCTTTAACAAAATCAAAATGTGTCAATAAAAATCAAATTACACGTATAACAGTAAAAAAAAAAACATCACCATCCGAACATCGATCAACGGAGTAAATGCAACAAAAAGAACAAAGTATTTAAACAATAAAAGTCTACAGTTTCCAAAAATCATTAAAATTTGAAAATCGATATTACAAATGTATATAATGTACAAGGAAACGTTAATTTGAATTTTTTAAAAATTAACGTTAAACAAAGACTCCATGATCAGTTCATACAAAAATGGTTTTCGGATATCGATAACTCATCGAGGGGGAAGTTCTATTCAAAATTTAAGACTGACTTCTGTATGGAACCCTATCTAATTAGACTTAGAAAATTTAGTAGACTCTATATTTGAAAACTTCGCACTTGCAATATCAAATTTCCTATCGAAACGGGGAGATGGAATAGAATTCCAGAAATTGAAAGAAAATGTAAGCTTTGTAAGACTGGTCTTGGAGATGAGTATCATTACATAGCGCTTAGTGACAATGCTGATGTTATTGAAGTAAGAAATGCATATATTCCTAATTACTACAGAATCAACCCAAATATCAACAAACTTTATGGAATGTTGAAATATTGCAACTTAAATGTATTAACTAACCTTTCTATTTTCATTCAAAAGGTTGAAAAACTACTGCTTTCTCTGTAAATCATCACATATGAATATTTATATATGTTACACTTTTTGTTACTATCCATTATCATTTTATTGTGTTCATGTGATTACGTGGTTATTTAAACTTTACAGATTGCACGGACTTTTTGCGATCTGGTCAATAGATGTAGTATACATTTAGTTTTGTAAAAAAAAAATATTTATATTGTTTTATTTTATGTATTCTACTCATTTCGCTTCTATGTTATTTGTAAATTTATGTGTATTTGTCGCTCCTGTTACGCAGGAAATCTGCGTCTGAGTGTATTTTGAATAAACAGTGAAACAGTATAATATAATACTTATATGTACAGTAGCGGGAAATATCAATATTGTTATTTTGTACGAGCTTTAATATCGCGGAGAAAAGCTAGACACACCAGTCCAGGCTTTCTCGTTGCTTCATATAGCGAGGACAAATATTTGTAATCTTCCAACATTGTAAGTATACTGTTTTAAACCATTTATAATATTAATTATTTAACCAAATGCTTAGTTTTAAACATGTCAAATCGTCAAAGAAATTGATATTGCTTACTTAAACAAGAGTTTTACTCCCGGACGAAGAAGACCTAAATAACCATAATTATATTCCCCAGTCATCCTTGGGGGCTGACAACACGATACCGGGAGACGATATATATTATATGTATTATACCGTATAGTAATATTGTATACTATACGGATATCATTCCCCATGTGTACCTCGATCTACAGTAAAATGGTCGATTAGAGGATAACGATAAATAATATCGTCTTAACTCAAAAGCAAGATCAAATTTGCTGATGAAGAAATCATTCTCTTTCAAGCACTATCGAAATAATTGTATACAGGACTACACAGGTTCATATTTTTTATGGACAACTGTCCTGTCTATTGTTGAAGACCATATATTCAATCCAAGATGTCTCTTTGTTGTTTTGTGTCGCTGGGTTGCTTGCGTAAACTAAAAATATTGTCATGATTTGTGAAGAAATTTAGTGCAAAAATAATGGCTATTTTTTTTTTCAATAATCGAATTAAAAGTGGAATCGAACTTTTACAACTATAACTATAATTTTCGTCGTATAATTGAATTTCAATCATTGAAATCTGATGCCATCACGTGACTTCAGCACGTTAATATTGCTACATATTCGAGAATATCGATTTGTTCTGTATATCATTTAACCTAATGTTGACTTACAAAAAAATCGAATCAAAAGATATGGAGTTCAATCCGACCGATTTTTATATTTTGAATATCTTTGCAGATCCATTGCGATTATCTGAACCAAATCATCAAACATTTTGACTGGATTGGTACAGATAACTTATCAAAAATTTCTATTTGTACAAATGTACCCTTACCTTTCCTTCTGAATAATCACCCGACTGACTGAATAAATATATATATAGCGTCCTCGGATTTGAACTCGTCTTTATTTACATTGGCCGTTGATAAAATACGGATGTGATAATAGAAATGGATTAAAACGTCGTGTGTTGCTCTACTAAGTGATTAAATCAAGGGAAATCTTTTTCTTGAAATCATTCCAATATAGTGTTCACACAGCTAGAACCGGCCTGTGTACATTATTAGTTCAACATTATACGGATACGATCACACACTGCTTTCTACTCGGTGAGCATGAAAGTCGCAGTTTGTATTTCATTTTATTTTCACCTGTCAACGTAAAGTTGTTCCGCCTAACAGAAGTTCCACTGGAAACTTTGTTATAAACAATGTCACAACAATCGAATTATTCATCTTAATATAGACATTATTCCTCGATGTGACAACATTGTTTAGGCTATAAAAGCTGCAGAATTTGTCAAGCATTTGATGTCTTGTATTGTCTTAATCGATCCTTCATTTTTTCTGCTTTTTAAGTACCTTTATGAATATATATTACTATCAATTTATAACAGTCTTTTTAAAAAGCTAATTTGAAACAGAGTAGCGAACATCCTTAACATCATTTCTTGGTCATTTTATTTTTGAAGATAATTTTTTATTTAAGTATTTTACTATCATGAAACCTGATTAATATTAAAACTCTGTATAAACTTTCAGAATTAGTAGATAAGATAAGATAAATGTTATTTCCAATAGAGGACCCATTATGGGCATATTCAGTACAGTATTGTTTTTTTTTTTTTATATTAAACAATTGCAATATAGACAATACACAAGAAAAACAACTCAAACATGAAATATAAATTGAGTTAATAATATATATAGCCATATAAACCATAATCTTTAATGTTTATTGACCATGCACCAGAATTAAGCAGCATCATACCCATTACAAAAATAGCTTTTATGAGTCAGTAAGTCCTTTCTCGTGGCTGATGCATATGAACAAATAGTATTGTTGTCCATATGCATGAGTCACAAAGGGCAGGTGTTTAAAGGACACTGAAGCAAATAAACACAAATATGAATATTTAAACACTTTGCAACACTAATACTCATAGAGGATTATTATATAGTCCTCCTCGTGGCTAATAGATGGTGGCTTTAGATGTTATAATATATAAACAAAAATCAAAACTTGGTAGTATTTGAAATTCAGATTATTACAGGCAGATAGATCCCCTAACCGTTAACAAAAACATTTTTTTACACACATTTTAGAGTATGCCTCTTCAAGGTAAAATGTAAATCAGGTTATGTAATTCACACTCAGCTACATGTGTAATATAAACTGTATGTTAATACATGAAGTTTTTTTAGCGGGATATTGCACTGAGAATACTTAATCGAAAACAACCGAAACACTGATAATTATTTCTATGCCTGTATCCTCCTAGTTTTCTGATTCTTTTTAGGTCTTTTGCACGTAGCTCTTATTTTCAAACACTGTGTTATTTATGACAAGGACATTAAAGCTAATAGTCCTGATATGCATAAAACTACTTAACTTAAGATTTGTTCCGAACGGACAGGTTTTTCTACATGTCCTACGATAAATTAGTAATACGATTGGATATCTTAACTATGCATATCAGACCAGGAATTCTCTTTATCCCTTCCATAAGGAATTCCAGTGAAGCGTGAAGTGATTTTTTTTTTAGTTTATCATAAATATTGAATAAAGTTTTTTGACATATTTATCTGATAAAGCAAAGATGCATTTTAAATTTCGCAAATGGGTCATTTTCAAAATCCTTCAATGTTCGGCTGACCTGTGAGGAAAATACGGCTTTATCATTACTTGAATTTTGGTGTCCTACATAGTGCATCGTAAGTTCTACTACTTGCAGAAGAAAATTAAAGAATAGGTACATGGATTTTCTTGGAACTCGTGCTCAAAGCTCTAAAATTACCCCAAACTACATGTCCCCACTCCAATAAATACCAAATATCGTATCAAAATAGACATCTTTATAATTACACAAATCTTACAATTTTCTGTCTTAAGATAGGAATTACAATGTCGGATGATATTTTAAAGGCTTTAAATAGTAGCTTTTATAACGGGAGAACAAAGAGAATATAATTTGAAGCGATGCTAAATGTGAATAATCGAAGCTATTATTATGTTTATGTATCAAATACTTTATATATATCAGCACATTTTTTGAACACGTGTGTTGAAAAAAGCAAACATGACATTTACTACATGTATGTACAATCCCGTCAAATCAAAGGTTGGCTTGCTTAAATTTATTTATGATTCTTTAGTGAACATGAATTCCCTGATAAAGACAAAAAAAAAAAAATAAAAAAATAAAAACTGTTGCATAGACTGTAATGTGAGAGGATTTTCTAGATATTGGTCGGCGGTTCTCTTCGGGTATTCCGACTTTCTTCGCCAATGAAAACTTCCCACCATGATGTAGCTAAGTGTATTGTAATTAGCATTAATGATGTTCGCTCCTCTTGTTTTTGAATGTTTGTCAGATATTTGGAAACCTCTGGTTTTATCCATTTAATGTCATTAAAAATTTTTGCCTGCTAACCCCTACTTTTCTTTTCATAATTTTATAACATATAGTTTAAAAACCCATATTTGAAAATCTTATAAAATCTTTGTTATTTTTTCATAGCTATTGAAATGAAAAGGTGCCAATGTTAAAAGTATGAAAAATCTAGAGAGAATCATTTCCCGCCAGATTTCTAATGGCATATATCTTGAAAACAAGCACACGGACCCTTATTTTTTTCTGTCTTTTTAATTCCATTTTACTATCAATTAATAACAGTCTTTTAAAAAGCTTGTTATTTTGAAACAGAGTAGCAAACATCCTTGAACACCAACAAATTTTTTTATACAATGGGTGCAGAAAGGGATAAATTGACGAAGAATTAGAGAAATATAGATTCTACCACTGCATCGAGTGTGATACGATATTTATCTACTCAAGACAGTTAAATTTTCAAATTTAAAACGCGAGGCTCGCCGAGCGTTTTAAATATTTAAAATTTAACTGTCGAGAGTGGATAAATATCGTATTACACGAGATTTGGTGGTGGAATCTGTTTCTCCAACGATTTTCAAACAATACTCAGGCAAATTTATTCCTTCTTTTCGAATGATCTGCAATAAGATGTGTTCTTTCTATGTGACGTCAACAGGCATGGTCGCCTTTTTTCGTGCCGTCACAATAGGAAATTCAGAGGAAAGCAAGAAAATTCGACGTCATAATCGGATTTTAACCAATGAAGAACTGAGATCAAACGAACCACACGTTGATTAATTTTTTTTTATACAATGGGTGCAGAAAGGGATAAATTGACGAAGAATTAGAGAAAAGAATTTACAGCATGCGTGCATCAAACGGTATAATATATGGACAAAGGGGTATAACTAATAAAAGTTCATAATAATTCCTGTTTTGTACCGCAAGTTTTAAAGGTTGAAACTTAGCGATACATTAAACCAAGGGTGCCTTATGAAGAAAAAATATGTGACAGATGTTTCTCTGATGATGCGGAGGATAAAATCCATTTTCTTTTACAATGTTCTTTTTTTAATCAGCAAACAATTTTTTTTCTTTACTATATTACCAAAGAATGTCCATCCTTTTCTAACTTGTCCTGTCTTAACTGATTTATATGGTTAATGACTATGGAAGATATAAAAATTACACTGAAAGTAAGTGAATCTATTTCAGAAAAACCTTCCAATTTAAATGTATGCTAATATTAAATAATATGTTATATTCCATGAAAGCATTATACAATATACTTGTTTCCCATTTTTTAGTACAAACATTTGTGCACTACCAGTGTACCTTTAATAATTTGTTATGCTATGATAATCATTGTAAAATTGTTGTATTTTGTGTATACATGTATGCCCCTTGAGGGTCCATGATTGGATAATAAAATCTTGAATATTGAATCTTGTACTTAGCACGAAATTTTACTCAAGATGAAACTTTAATATCAAAACATCGTCAGATGAATTTTGTATCATCATGATCAATTATCTTGAAACTCTAAAATATGTCGATTATTTTATCTTATTTATAAATGACACAGGTTTGAAATCACAGTGTTTGTTATTATTTATCCGCCCACTGAACCAAAGTTTTGTCACTTACCGTACACAATGTCTCTAGAAATTCATTTTATTTTCGACTAGCGTCTGTAGTATATTTTTTTTTTTCTAAATTCTCCTCAATGCAAATAGGGAATGTATTTTTCACAACCAATCAATTTAATCTCTATCAGCATGCGCTACGTACTTTCGCTTTTTTTTTCTAGAGACCAAACAATTAAACTATTGAAGTAACGTTCTTTTTCACGCTTAGATAAATAACGATTTTTCTTTAAAAAAAAGTTAATAAAACACACATAAAATGTATGGATTTCCATCTTTATAATACTGATATACACTGTAAAAGTAAAGATTATTACCTATGCTATTACGATTACGAGTTGTTGTAGGATAAATATATATATATTTTGGAGGGAAAGGGGGGAGCGTGTACAACAGTTATTTCCATGTCTTTAACCGATTTCTTTATGTCTTGTCAACGTTTTTTAACTTTTATGGCCTATACAATTTATCCTTTTCTGCCTGTATATACGACCTGATTTTAGGGAAGTTTTCGTTTAAGATTCTGTAGGTCTATTTTAAATACTAACACAGGGGGAGGGACCGGTGAAATGAGTATTTTTGACGAACAGATTATTCATTTTCTCCTGATGCTAGTCTGGCTTATTTGTTTTGCATGGCAAAGACACACACAAATGTATTTCAATTTTGAACCCAATAAGAGGTAGTCCCATAACAGTGTGGACAACCGTAATGATTATGTTTTTAATAATACCGAGTCATTTACTTTTAACTTGTTTGTCATCTATGGAAGGGAATATCCGCCATAATTATACATTTCTTAATTTGTAATATCCAATTTCTTAATTTGAAACATGCAATTTCTTAATTTGTAAAATGTTATTTCTTAATTTCTAACATGTATTTTTTCCATCCGTTACATGCATTTCTACACTTCTTGATTTGTGAAAAGTAACTTCTTAATGTGTA